TCGGCTAGCATGTGTCATTTATTTGTATTTGTTTGTATAACAAAAACATAACATAATAAATGTGCATTCCTACTATCTCGTTGTGCTCGTCGCGTAACTTAGGAAAAAAAACAAAGAGTTCGTACAAAAGACATCAACGCGTTCAAAGCATCGTAGAGAAGTTATAATCTATTCTACCCTGCATATATATCAAATTACACTAGTATACATTTATTATTATACATAATATAGTTACATACAATATTAATCCAAAATAAAAATAAATAAAACCAGTCGTTTTTTACAGACTCAGTTTGAAAGCACATTAATTTTTTCTACAAAGCATTTTGTAAAATCCTTTTAAATTAAAACAAAATCTTAATCCGTTATGAATTATTTCACGAAACTAATTATTATTGTAAGAGATGATATCATCAGCATGGCTATAATATAGACCACATTTCCACTGGCGAGGCGCGCTCTACTATTCTGAAGAGAGTCGCCGTGCCAGTGCAGGTGTACATTGCTAGAAAGAAGTCGCCCACGACAAGAGTGACTTGTCGGGCTAGTGAAAAATGGATTTAAATTTAGCTACGGCGCTCGTAAACATAAGGGTCGGCGCGGTTGAGGTCAGGGTCATCGTGCAGGTGTTGCGACCACACACACATGTTATTTAGTTATTTAAATAAAATATATATCATATAACAGCTTTATTTAATTGAGCATAATATTGTAACTTTGGCGATAGAAAGATCTTGCTTTGAAATATACATAAATAATCTAACACAGGAGATTTCTTGACATTTTACAAGTAAGCATACATCAAAATGCCTTGTTCCCTTTATGGAAGCCGGACAAGTACGGCATACCTCTCTACTGAACGATATCGCACTTCTAAAGTCCGTGTCCTTATATTAAGAGTCAGAAAGTCAACCTGTTCATTGAACAATCAAACACCTCAGGCAATAAACTAATGATACAAAACTTATAAAGAAATACCAACACTAGTTGTCACCCGCGAATTCATCCAAAGATTTTAAAGAAAATTATTAAATAACCTAAGGTATTGATGTAAACAAATCGTTCAATTGTTTTGGAATAACAAGATAACAAATATTCCTACATACGCTTGCTTTATAATATTTCTAATTTTATTTATCGCGGTCTTTAGTCATTAATGTATTGCGAGCGCGGTGCGTTGCGGGGTGGGCAGGGAGAGGGGGCTCGCTCTATTTATTTGACCTCGTGCCTGAGGCTGTGACATCAGGCGGGTCAAGTTCTGATTCTCATCAGAAAATACGTTCTATTCGATATTAGTACATACTACATATATAACGCTACATGATAATTAATATAGAAATGATACATGTCCTAAAAATGAGCAATCTCTAAAAATAGAAGTTACATTAATGGAATAATTACGAAGGATTTCCACTACCGCTATTAACAAATAACACAAAAATAGTGTCCTGTTAAAAATGTCAATGTTAACTTTAGAATAGAACAATCTCAAGTACTATCTAATCTAATTCACTAAAGCCAGAAGCTGCTTCATTAATAGATTAGTAAAAACTGTTACACCATTTCCTGTTAAACCTCGCAATTAGTTTCCGGTGCTGTAATAAGTTCCCACGTTAAGACTGCGGGGGCAGGGCGGGGATCCTCTCTCCCCTCCATCCCCCCACCGACTAGCTCTTAAGTAACATCGTCGTGTTTATTGATGGCTGCAACATTTGTGTCAACAACTACAGCCGCTGAGATCGTTTGATTGTAAATTCTACGATATAGAGGTCACAGCTTTCATTCAGTTTGATATCGCCGATTTCGCCAACATCGTGGTTATACTACTTCTGACATTAAATAAACGAAAAACACACGCAAACGAAGGGTTCAATACTTGTATTACGATTTGTAAAACGCATCTTGTACATGTTAAGACTATCTTTGACTTTCAACTATATATCTTGCTTAAACCATTTGTTGTCGACAAACCTGATAAAAATTTGCAAAAATATCAACAAGCGTCATGCAATTCCCGTGACTTTCACTTTCACATCTGCCGTCTGCGGCCGCCGCGACGTGACTTCCTCTGTTACGTGCTTCTCCTGCACTCGGCCCCGGACAAGGAAAATAAAGACCATTTATGTCGCAAACCGTGACTGTAATCGGTTACTTACCATCATACCTCCACGATATATAACGCAACATCTGCTATCAAATTGAGTTACGACATAAATCTTCACGGCAGTACAAATGGCGACAAATTATGAAGTAATCAACAAATGAATGGATTCGCTTCCCCATTGTGATAGTGTTCTCAGGCGATGCGGAGAGGAACGTCGCATGCATCTTCATATTATGACGATTGAGCAACTGCGCTCGCCATACACGAACCGCAACTTGCAGTCGGCCTTACAACAACATCAAAATGCCGCAATAGTTCAGAAAACTGTAATGAACTATCGAAAGATATGCTACTAAATTTTGATTCTAGATACCAATAATAACGGACAAAGACGTGCGAATGCGTCGATAATAGAGTGGTGTTACGGTAAACAGCGATGTACGAGGATTTGAGAGGACTTTGCGGGGCGCAAGGAGGCCGGGGCGGGGGCGGGGGCCACACCGCTATGCCGCGGGGTACCGTTGCCAGCTGACCTACTGTCGGCTGTCGGCGGAGGAATGCGTTCGCGCCGCCTGTGTATTGGGACACTATTTACATTTTTTTCTATGGGTTTTTTGTTGCACTGAATGCTTATCAAGACTTCTTCATGTATGCTTCGCCATGTATATTGCACGCGGCGTTAATAACATGCATTCAACAAAAGTTACCTACTGATAAATTTCCATCTCATTAATGTGTACATCAGTTCATCTAACAATACTCTTGTAATTACAACAAGTTGGGGGAATCTAGATCATTTTCGAGCAAATTCCTAACTTAATACCCCGTACCCTATGTAAAGTCTTCTAAGAATGCAAAAAGTTCAAGATTTGTTTATGAAGTGTCGAAAAAAAAATCAAATTTGTTCATCCACGTCCGCAGTCGACCTCCGCGGGGACCGGTCGAGCACGCCGCGCCGCGCCGGCACATTGCAATAAAAACAATAATAGTGTTCGGCGCTAGATGTGTTTATTGTATGTATGTATGGAGCGCCGCATATTTTATGTCTAACGAGAGCGAGGGAAATGTCACGGTATGGTAATATCTGCGGCGCTGTACGGTGGTGCGCGGGACAAGCGGCTAGCGGCAAGCGGCAAACGGGAAAACTAGATCATCACTTTGACTTTACTCGTATGTTTGAATACAGATACAGTAAGTAAAGCAACATCACCGTGACACATAAAATGCAAGTATTTGAATCAAACCTCCACATCGATGTTAAATATTAGTATTCAAAGATCTATTTGTGACAATCAACCTCCACTGAAAGTTAAAAATATGTAAAAAAAAGTATTACTATCATAAATAAGCGTGAAGTTTTAACTATTTAATCATTTTTTAACTTTGAATTTACTGTGATGCTGTGGACATTTAGTAAGGCCTTGTATGCGTATAAACGTACGTTGTTATCGCCCGCTTCCGTTACCGCCACCGCCGGTGGCTTGCGGCGTCGCCGCGGCGCCGGCGCCAACATTCCGCCACTGTCTCTCTCGTCTCAGCCTCACAGCTATCATTATATTTATCAAACGAAAACATGATACTTAGTATCAGAGCTTACATTTTTATTTATAAGAGGAAACCGCGACAGTCGTGATATTTAATGTTTTGTGCCTAATATTTCTCTTTACATGATATATTATATGATATCTTTAGTAGTCTTGAGACAGAAGTCTTAAAATTTTATGGTTTATACAAAAAAATGTAATAGAACAATTATAAATCACCTTGTAAGAAGGCCAAAATTTGTAGACGTATAACCCTCCTAACCGATATGTGTTCATGTTCCGAGTCCCTCCATCCTCCCCAAGGCGCTCCCTTTTTTATGTTTCTTTGGAGGGCACATTAACATGATTATATGAGGGTATGTAATCCACAGACCTGTGGCGCCCCCTTCTATCCAGCGCCGCAGTCTTCCAACCTCGCCTGACCCTAAGACCAGTACACCTTCGTAGCCAAGAAGGCTTCGTTCTTAGATTGCAGGCGTTACCGACTGACAGACGAGTTCCGTTATGAATAACTGTTGGAATATGAAGCAACCACTTTAAAACTGCTTAGGAAATGTTTCTTATAAGAATCGACCAAAGGGAAAGCTGAACTGAACAAAACTAATAATCTTTTTCTATTTGTATTTACGAACTAAATATCTAGATGCCTACAGAGAAGGTCACCGAGACAATTATCTGTATTCGTTCTAAAACGTTTCGTAATTCGTAATAACTTCATAATAAATGTTTGCCATACAAAACGTTTACTGCGCAGATATCAAATAAGATCTTAGGGTCCTCTCAAACACGTTTAAATCCAAAAGGTTTACTATACTACATGTGCCCACAGCAACATAGACATGATAGTTATTGCAGTTTTTTATATACCTCTAACGGTTTAGGCACCGTAAGCCGGGAAAAGTTAAAGTTTAGTGATTTTTTAACGCCGGCGTCCAGAAACACGCTGTTTAGTAATGGTTCCTAAACATTACACATATAAATAACCTTTCTGACGGTGAAAGAATTTTTAAAATCGGCCCAGTAGTTTTTGAGTTATTTCAATACATATAAAAATACAAAAATTAGAAGTTTGCAAAAACTAATTCTCTTTTAGTTTACGATGAATACGAAATGTACAAGTAAAATTATAAAAAGTTATGTTACCTATAATGTCAGAAAACTTTAAAGTTCTCTAGTTAGCCGAGTTTTAATAACATTTTTTTCCTAGCCATAAGATTAGTACTAAGGTACACTTCGTTAACGTCTATTTATCCTGTATTTAAGCAATCAGTGAAAATAAAATGGAGTGTATTATTAATACCTAAATGTCTTATATATAATTATGTTGGATATCAATCCGTAATCGAACTTACCGAGCATTAACAGCAGCGTCAACGCCACCTCGAAATGCATTACGTCGATTGTAACTCACTGAATGTATCCGAG